AAATTCGGGACTAAAAATTCGACTATATACACACATTATTTATTTATTTTATGTATCATATACATTAAAAGAAAATGTAAAAAATAATAATAAAATAATAAAATGTTAAAAATAATAAAATAATTTTTATTTTATACAAATTTACAGTATCACAATAACTATGGAAGAAATAAATTAATTAAATATAATTAATCAATAACTATGACATCATAAATTTATCACAAATTAATATTAAAAAAAAAATCTAAGTCAAATACAATCTACTATGTTTATCTAAAAATAAATAAAAATTTGCACTTTTTTCCGGTCTTTTCTTGATAACTTATATGTAGTAAATGCATAAGTAATTTATTAAAATTAAAATTTCAAATTAAATTAAGGAAAAATTACACTGACCTCCTCTCTTGTTTGTCTAATTACACCAACCTCCCCTTTTATAGCTGTCAAGTGGATGGTGTTAACAATTCAAATGAAATTACATCTATGTCGTCATTGTATTTATTGTATTTTATAACATTGAAAAGATAAAATTATCCATATGTCAAAGCAAAACAATTTGGAAGGAGACATATATACATACTTAAATATATTTGTTTGATGAGAAACAATTTGAGAGGAGAGAAAGAGAGGATATATTTGTTTGATTTGGTGTATATATATTTGGGTTTGATTGGTGACAACAAAGAGAGGTATAGGAAGGCAATTCAAATAGGGTAAGAAAGAGAGCAAATGGGCAATTCAAATAGGGTAAGAAAGAGAGCAAATGGGTATGGCTGAAATCCAGATTTGGTGCTGAAACTCAAACACACCAAATAATCAATGGATTATTTATAATTGGAGGTTTGGTTGTAATAGATCCTCTCCACCTTCCATTTATAATTAATCCATTTTCATTTGGTTACAAACGAAGTCCAAAACCCAGACACTTAGAAAATTTATTTTCCCATGGCGTTGATATTGGATGATTCTTATATTCCACTCTACATAATAAGGAATACATGAAGAATGAAGTAGCTCAATGGTGAGTTTAAAAGAGAGAGAGAGAAAAAAAAAAAAAAAAAAAAAAAAAAAGGCAATTGCTTTTTATGTAGAGTGGAGTACAAGAATCATCCAATGAAAATTACTCAGCGGGGAGAGGTTTTTCTTTTTGAAAGGTTGAGTGGAGAGAGTTTGTATCAGTGGCTCCAATGGATTCTAATAAATTGCAGAGAGCCCAAAAGGCTCCAATGTAATGGCAACCATGGAGGGTTTTTAAGTAATTTTACTTCAATAAGTAAGGTCAAATTTGTCTTCATAATAACTAAAAGGGTACTTTAGTAACTTTAAACTTACATCAGCAATTACTAATATTGACTGGGCAATAACCTTTAACGGTGATTAATGGAGGGGTACTCTCTGTTATGAAAATTTAAACTTAAAGGAAGGTTAGTGTAATTTGTCAAACAAGAGGGGATGCCAGTATAACTTGACTGAACCTCAAGGGAGGTCAGTGTGATTTACCCTTATATTAAATTAGAATATCACATAATTAATTTATGCACATGCTTAAATCCTAAAAGTATTCTCTATTCATTTTATCATTAAAGGTCTATAAACTTCCAAAAACAAAACAAAACAAAATAAATATCTACAATTACAAATAAAATTTAAATTTTTTTTTGAAAAATAAAAAATATCTACAAAGATCTACTGTTTCACATATTGTGTGTATATATATATTTCATTACTTAATTGAAGATTGTGAATTTAATAAAAAAAAATTGAGAAAAATATAGAATTAGAATTACATTGAGAAAGCAAAACGGTGTGAATACAAAAACACTTATCAAATAATGATCGAAACTTATCAAAATGTTTAAAATCGTTTCATACGAGTTCGTTTAAAATTTACTTATTTATTGTATCTTTAAATCATTTATCATTCGAGAATTCACACTATTGCACTGTCACCGTGCATAAGACAAACGTAGAACGCGCCTTATTTCGAGCGTGGAATACAGTTTGAATAGCGTAGTGGAGTTGCAAGCACAAAAGGTGTGTTTACACTAGCTGGGTTTGGGGGCTTGATTCAAGACAGTTGGCCCAAATAAAAAACACAGCGTGAGACGATTTCAAATGACTACGGTTTGTAAGTCCATCGTCAACAGCTACGTACCACTACCCATATGTTATTCCCTCCACTGTAAAAACTGTCATATATCGTCAAACGTCACGTACCACTGCCACGTGGCATCGTCAACCGACACGTATCACTACCATGTGTTACCCTGCAGTGTAAAAATTGTCACGCAACATTAACCCCTAGTGTTAATCACTTTATTACAGAGACGCAAGTCCAGTCTATCCAAAATTGATGGGCTCAATTATAATGAATTTGTTAGTGTCTACTGAGATAAATTTATAATTAATTCAACTGGAATAATTTTTACAATCCACAGCATTAAAAAATAAATAAATAAAATAAATTATCCATTTTATCACATCATTCTTGCTTGATTTCATAGCTATTGATATTAATGCATATGGTCAAATGATTTTGATTCTGGAAAATAAAATGATCTTGATCAAATTTTTTCAAAGGGGATATTTTTATTTTAAAAAATGACGTTCAAATCTGATTGATAACAATTTTAGCTCAACAGAGCTGCTTACCGGAAATCTCCCGTTGCTATGACATAGCTGCTAACCGGAAATTGGGATTAACTGTCATGTTTGGTTGGTTATCGGTAGGGTGGCAAAACGGATCAGGAACCATCAATTCATCTATATTCGCTCGCCTTTTAATGATTTTAGGTGAACCATATTTAATTTGTGGGTCAAAATGGATTGGGTAATTTTTATTCACTTAATTTGAGAGTCAAGATGGGTTAACAATACATAATAAACACACAACAAACATCTATTTTATATTACACTCAACTCATTTCTCTCTCTAAAATTCTCTCTCTCACAATCTTTTCTCTCTAAATTTATATCTTATCAATCCCCTCTCTCTAAGTTTCTCTCTTTAGAAACTTCTTTTAAAAAAATTAATAATTAAAAAATAAAAAATTTTAAAAACTTCCGGGAAAAAAAAAAAAATGATTAAAATTTTTTTTAAAAATAATTAAATAAATAAATAGATTTTTTAAAAAAAAAAATAAAAAAATAAAAAATTTACGTCGTGCAGAGTACAAAACTTCGATACGACTCTGTCCCCAGAAGGAGCATCCAAAAAGCATGCCCTAAACGACAACTTGCCACCACGTGGCTCATCTCCTTCATTCCATAGATATATATAATTTTCATTTCAATATAAAATATACATTCCTTTTTCAACGTTTATTTCTCTAAACCATAAATATATATATAAATACACACCATGATCAAAGTCTTACTTTGTCAAATCAATTCTCTTCTCTTTCCCGTCCATTCCGAAATTTCAGATCTCTCTATATTCTATAGACAAGCACAATTATCCGCAATTTTATAAATATGCCACTTTTTTTTAAAATGCTCCCTTGAAAGGAAACACATGGATGTGCTTTAAATTTTTATTTTTTTTTATTTATAAAATAATAAAGTAATAATAATAATCAAACTACTCCAAGCCCATTTCACACCCATAGTTGAAAAATAAAAGAGATATTTTATATAATTTGCATCCGAACTAATTTTAATTCAAAATTTTTCATATGGATGAATGTTGAGTGATCTGGAAACTAAACAATAAAATATCAACTTGTCATTATCACATTTGGAAAAAATTATCTACAAATTATTTTTTGCTTCGTGTCCATACAAGAGAAAGGTAAACCAAAGAGGCGGACGGCTAGACCATATATATATATATATATATATATATATATATATATAAACCTTAACTTCATAAACCCAAAATATATAAATAAACCCAATCAATAAATAACTTTATATGTTTATTTATTTATTTGTAAATGTCCAGCACTTATTAAAATATTAAAAATAATTAAATAATTAAAAATAATAATTAATGGGTTCACGGGTCATAAATGGTTGACCCTGCTCATTTTCAACCTGTTCTGAACGGGCTAAATATGAATTTTGACCCATGTTGACCCATCAATTTTTAACCTAACCCAAACCCGGTCCAACCTGTCCATTTGCCACCCTTAGTTATTGGTGGCTCCTTTTGGGGCTGGGCTTGCTCTCCTCTGGGCTGGGTTGTTGTAGATGAAACTGAGCCTTTCTCAAGCTTAACTTTGCAATTATTAATTTTTCAATATAGGGGAAAGTCTGAAAAACACCTATGTGGCTTTAAATTTGTGCAACTAACCCCTTTTTAGTTAGGTTTATTTATATAAATCCATCTAAATATAAAAATGTGCATTAAGCCACTTCCGGTGACTATTCCGGTGAGAATTGGACTCCGGTTGGTCATGTGCATGGCACAGGACCATTTTAAACCATTTATTCCGGAATTACCCTTTTAACATTCCTTTGGTTCCCCTCACCATATATATATATATATATATATATATATATATATATTTGTTATTACCCCCTCACTGGAATCTTATGGTCCACCGAATCATTTGTCATCCCCGCCTGGTTTTCGCTAGGATATCTGATCTGAAACGGCCAAAAATGGCGTTCAGAACTCGATTATGGCTCTCTATTGTATAGAATTGTATCTATTGGTATGAAAATTTATTATCTTCCCCATAATTATTTATTTTTTTGAGGGTTTTCCCCCATTTTTCATACGGGTAATTGAATTAGGCTACAAAAGTAGCCATTTTTTTATTATTATTTTATTTTATTTTATTATCTAATGCATCTTTGGTTGGGAGATATTAATCGTGTTTCAAGTTGAAATAATTTAAATGTAAAAGCAGCAATTTTGTTTCTGGATATCCAATTTGTTGTTGTAAACAACTTGAATTTTTTGAATCCTACCATCAATTCTCAAGTTCAAACTTTCTGATCTCTTTGGATCTCTCTCTCTCCTTTTCATTTTTACTTTCTGCAGTTCTACAACTTCAATTCAAAACTAAAAAATATGCAGATTTCTCAAAATTGGGTTTGTAAAATTGAGTGAAAATAATCGAATTCAAAGACCCACTTTTCTGATCCCGAACGGTGAACGGCGAACCCGAACTTTTGCGATGAAGCAAGCAATCTTGCAAGCTTCCGTTTCTCATGAGCTCATACACCAGTAACATACGTCGCCGTTTCTGGTCAGAGGAGAATCCGATGAGCGAGACGATGTAATTTAATTCAGTCTTTCCCGCGAATAAGAGCTCATTCTGGAACTCGCGCTCGCCCTGGAGAGAACCGGCGTCCATAGCCTTCACGGCAACTTCTAGGTTCAAGTCGGTAAGGGTTCCGCTGTGGACGGAGCCAAAGCCGCCTTGGCCGAGACGGTGAGATTCGGAGAAATTGTCGGTGGCGCGGCGGAGGGAAGAGTAGGAGAAGCAGTGCGGCGGCTTGGAATCAGCGGGGATGATGCGTTTGTGGGAGATTTTGCGGAAGCAGACGGTGAGGAGAATGAGGCAGGAGAAGGCGGCGGCAACGCCGCTGGCGAGTGGAGGAATGAGGTGACTGTGGTGGTGGGGGTGGTGGTGAGGGATGATCGACGGTGGTGATGCGGCGGTGGGGATGATCGACGGTGGTGATGACTACAACATCTGACGAGATGGCCTGGTGAGAAAATTGTGAGAGAGAATGAAAGGAGAATTGAACCACATAGCTCTGTAGCTTTACTGTTGTTGCAGATTGAGAGGGCTATTTTAGTCTTTTCACATTTTATGTTATATTATTAGTTTTTTAAAATCATAAATAAAGGGTTATTTTAGTCTTTTTGTAACTCCGGTACCGGTCAATAGCGGTCAACGCCCAAAATGTACTAATTTGCACCATTTTTAAAGTATAGGGGAGGTAAACAAACAATGGTGGTTATACGCACTATCTCGATATCACAGTTTTAGCTCAATAGAATTTTAGAATGAAAATAAAATTTATATTTTAGGTAAATATTTTATATTAGACAATTTTATCCCTTTTTATTTTTTATACAGACAATTTAGTTCCCTAAAATCATGTTATTATTGAACATAGTAACACTCTTTAAAAGACATTATTGTAAAATTAACAACATTATTTCTAAACAAATTATAAAATATTTTAATTGTGAAGAGTAATGTATATTGTTGGTCCTATCATGATTTTGCAAGTGTCACAGTGAGTTTAGATGCTTAATTGAACTGGACAAAATTTTATCACAACTAACTAGAATCAATAACATCAGCATCATTTTGACTCTATTTAAGGTTAAAATTTCAGTTAAAAAACAGTCCATCACTTCTATCTTTACACATTTTACCAATCTCTTATATCATTTCTTTTTTTCTTTTTTCTATTTTTTTTATAAAAAAAATAAATAAATTGCCCTCAATTTGACCAGGTCATTCTTGCTTCATGTCATTGTCATTGATTATCAATGCATATGGTCAAATGATGTTGATTGTTTTCTCTCATTTTGATCATTTCTTGGTATACTTATAAAAACTTATGGGAACGTACGGTTAAACGTTAAAATCTGAATTTAAATTCTGCTTTGTAATGGGACCACCATAATGGATGGATAACGATCATTTCATCTCAAATTGATATTATTTTAACTATTTCATAAATATGTTTTTTTGAAAGGTTAATTTCAAACTTATATATACAAATAATAATTACGAATAATAATTTCAAAGTTAATTTCAAGTATAATATTATTTAAGGTATTATTTACATTGCACACTCAAACTTAGTATAGAGCTTCGGCATAAAACAATATTTGCATGAACATTATTAAGTGGCCTAATTTTTAGAGTGCCCAATCCCTGAGTGGGTGTGTCCGTGTTCGAGTACCCTTCTCCCTAATTTGTTAATAAAAAAAACAAAAAAAAAAAAAAAACAATTTTTACATATTATTATGCCGAGATAAGTAAAAAAATTAAATCAAACCGCAAAATGGAAGGCCTTCGTACGAAGAGCCTCTGCAAATCCTCCATTCTTCCCACTGGCTATTTTGATATGATTCAAATGACTTATTTTATCTCCATTGTCAACTTTGTTCAAAAGTGATACTTTATTAATTACCGTGTGCATTAATCATTTTGTGAAACTGAAAATTACGTACCAAAAATTTTAAATATTTGAAGTTTTAAGTGATTAATAAAAATTAAAAATTATATATATAAAGTAGTGCCAATTCGAATGGAATATATATTTATGAATTTTAAGTGTTGATATGTTAAATCGCTGTCGTTTAAAATTTTATTCCATTCGAATTGGCACTACTTTCTTTTTAGTGATATTTATATTGCATTACAAAATTTTAATGATATTATATATATATATATATAAAAGATGACATTAGCCGGGTGAAGGTCTGCAATCAGGCCCATGGGCCGCATCTTCAGAATAGAACGATCCAATAATAATAGTAGCTGGATTGTTTTGACAAATCTCTGGATACAGAATAATCTAATACACAAAATCTGGCCCAGCCTTAAGATTATAATTGAGCCAAGCAATCTCAATATTTAATTAATTTATTTATTTATTTATAGCTCAATCTCAAAACCACAAATTCAATATCTTAAGCATGATTTCAAATTGCAACCAATCTCAAAGGTGATATTTTTGTACATTAAATGCTTAGTAAAAGTGATTCTAGTTATTATTATTATTATTTTAAGTTGACAAGAAATACACTCAGGCACTTACTTTGCACTTACGAAAATCCTTCTATTTTAAAAGGTGATAAGGTACTACTAGTTAGGGCTGCAACTTGGGCAGGCCAACCTAGCCCAACCCAAGAAATTTGAAATTTGGGGTTTAAATTCACTAATCGGACTCATGTTCGAGTTGGGTTTTGTCAAAATCCAGACATATTCGGGTTGGATTCGGGCTCAACCCGAACCCAACTCAAAACCCAATTTTTTTTTTTTCTCCTTTCTTTCTTCTTTCACTTTCTTTCTCTGTTGCCATCCCCTCTGCTACCACCGCCACCCCTCGCCTTCAGCCGTTGATCCACCGTTGCTACCGCCTTCCCCCTACCTCTATCGTTGCCAGCGCCATCGTCACTTCTAAAAATTAAAACAAAACCTATACATACAAGTTAGCAGTTATAGAGAGAGAGAGAGAGAGAGAGAGAGGGGGGGGGGGGAGTTTGAGAGTTGAGAGACAACGGCTGAAGCTTGCGAACGGCGAACCCGAACTGGAACAGTAGGCGATGGACACTGAAAGATATGGATTTTGATTTTTTGAACAATCTGAAATAATATGCCGATATAGGTTTTGAACTTTTGATATAGATAAACTGAAATATATGGGTTTTGAACTTCTGATTCTTGTAGATTTTGTAGTTTGCAGTTGGAGAGAGAGAGAGGGCAAGTTCAGAGTTGAGAACAAATATAAAGATGGAGGCGAACGGGGAGGCTGAAATGATTTGCCCTAAAAATATTTTGTTTTTTAATAATAATATAATCAAATATAATATATATATATATGTATCAAATATATATATATATTTTCGAAAAAAAAAAAAAAAACTCAGCACATCAACCCGACATGACCAGACCGAAAATATTCGGGTTGAATTTTGACCATAACACATGTTGGGTATAATTCGAGCTGGCTCAATCTAACTCGATTCGGATTGAGGTTGGGTTGGGACTGGGCTGGGTTGGACCAACCCAACTTACAGCCCTACTACTAGCTAGCTTACAGCCTTTGGTGAGGAATTCAAATTCAAGTGTTTTGCATAAACAATTTAAATTTTTTTTTCCCCATCTTATAGAGCATACAAAAAGGTGTATTTATTTCAAAATTGATAAAGTTTCTTCGTAAAGATCACTGAATGAACAAGCATGTGTGTTACATGTGCCAATTATTTGAAATTATCTCCCACTCATTTGTGCTAATTTAATATTTTTAAATGGAAGTTGAACACATTATTTTATAGTTCATGATCTTGTTGCCCTTTAAGGGGGATAGCTAGGGTTTTATTCAAACGTCCCTTCTATGAAGACCATGTTTTGATAATCTATTAACCAGATCACCAACAAATCATCAAGCCACATGAGTACTTTCTTGGTAATAGCAATTAGCATACGAACAATTAATAATAATAATAGAAGAATAACACACGCATTATAGATGTAGCACTGCGGGTGCATGTTCAATGGTCTTTGTGAGTCACACCTATGGTAATCCATCCATATCGAGTTTCAATGTCTTCCCGCCAACCTTAATTGGTTCATTCAATAGGGAGTAAATGACAAGTACATATCAACAGAAAATTCATATACATGATGTAAAAGTGCAAAAAAACAGAAAAAACTCTCCAACTATTCACTTTGTTACAAATACTTCCTTATAAGTACAAAAGGTTGCATAAAGGACACTGGATTCAGGGGATTAACTTTTCCGGCTGTGTAACGTCACGCGCCTGTTAAAATGATGAGAATGCCTGCCCTTTTTTGTGACCTTTCAGACTTTTGACTATGAGTTTAAGTGTTAAAAAAAAAAAAAAACAAAAATCAAGTCCTCACAACTACTGCGATAAAGAAAATTAAATATATATATATATCCACACTCTCAGACGAAGAGTGTGGATTGACAGAGGTCGGTAGCGGAGCGGAGGGCAGCATCGGAGGTTGGCAGTGGTGGCGGAGTAGAGGGCAGCGTCGGAGGTCGGCGACAGTGGCAGAGTGAAGGGCAGCGTCAAGGACGAGGTCATAGAAGAGGGTGGAGAGAGTGTGCCGGTGTCGGCGACAACAGGTATCAGAGTTCATCTGTGGGCATCAAAGCTTCCAACATTCTGTTGGAAGAAATGCTCAATTGCAAGCTCTGATTTTTGGTTTGCTAAGATGGGGTATTATTCCATTATTTTGCCACCATGGTTGTCGGCGACAAAGCAATCGATGATGGGTAATCTCAGATATGTCGATCCTTGCCCAAGCACAACCGCACAAAATCTGATGTAACATTTCCCATCCCATGAACCCAATTCAAGCCCTATTTCACAATATCAATTTTTTTCCATCCTAATTCATCCAAATCAAGCCCTGATTTGCAACCAAATCAACCATATTTTTTTGAAGGATATATATATATTTTTGATTCCTATATTATACACATGCAAACGCTCGTCAAACAAATCTGGATGTGTTTTTTTGGTGGGAACTATAGAATATGAAAAATAAAAAACTAGATATTACATTAAAGTATAACAAATGTTCAAAGTCACAAAAGTCGTTAAATACCATGTCTTTATTGATAACATTATTTAGCGCCAAAAAAAAAAAAAAACACATCACTAAAATATTAGGAAAAGAAAATTCAATAAAGTTTGTAGCAATGTTGATACTAGTGCTGCTGTAACTTTGTCATTATTTCAAGGTATTATGGGCCTAATAATAATAATAAATAAAAATAAAAATCTGGTACCCTAGGTTTCTTAAACAAATATAAGGACTGGCGGGTTGGATTCACACTACATTTTGGAATCTGATAGAACAATTTGATTCAGTGGCAGCATAATGAGAATTACCCAACAGCTATCATTATCATTTAAATCACTCATTGCATATTAACAATGATCAAAATCCAAAACAAAACTTCAACCTTCTCTGTACACACACACACACACATATATATATCTTTTATTTTCTTCTTCTTCTTCTTTTTTCCTTTTTAACACACAAACAATTCTCCATCACTCTGTGATGACCTCTGGAAGCATGGGTGTAGTGCCAGCCGTGGGTGAGCGGTCTGCAGAAGCCATCATGCTTGTGCCTGATGATGAGGTACTATCCTTCATAGCAATCGAAGAAGAAGTATCGCTGCTCATAAAACTGGTTGTATCATTAAAATTCCAGTCAGTCAGGTATCCGGGCCGTGTAGTTACAGGGGTCACTTCAATATCTCCTGAAAGCATTGCCATTACACGTGACATGGATGGGCGCAGCACTGGTGATGTTTGAGTGCACAAAAGAGCTATGCCAATCACCCGTTTTACTTCTTCCTCGCTGAATTTAGATAACTCTGGATCCACCAGCTCAGTTTCACGGTTCTTCTCATGTAGGTTCCAGGTCTAGAAGAAGGAAATGTTTAATTCAGTCAAAAGAATTCAAGGTGGAAGGAACTGTTCAAGAATAATGAATTATGCTAAACTTCACAATCATTTTGCTAATAGTAGGTTTCAATGTGTTTTTTGTTTTGTTTTGTTTTGTTAAGTTAGATTTTATTAAAATGAAACAAAGATACAAAGGAAAGAGCAATACAACGTAGTTACAAGAGAAAACATCAGAAGAACAAGGCAACTCATTTTGTTTTCATGTCATAGCATTTGAATTTCTACTTTGTGTTCTTTTTTCCCTCTTATATTCACAAAAATAAAAATAAAAATAATAACAATAATAATATGAAGAAAAATAAAACATTTAAACAAGAGAGAAAATAAAAGAAAGCCTAACCATAGTTATGAGAGAAAATAAAAGAAATGATAACAATAATTTTTATTCATATTTGGATGAATTATTAAGGGAAAAAAAGGAAATGATAGTATTCTTGTTCCGAAAAAGTAGAGGAGGGAAAAGAAAAGAAATGATAACAACCAAATAACTATCATGCCCTTTTTTAAGATGGGACTCAACTGTCATAACAAGTTTCTTCTTTTAATTGTTAAGGGTAGTTTTGGAATTATGAAAGTATTACTTAACCACTATCCTCTCTCCAAATCCTCCCATTTTTGGAAGGATCCCGTGTATGGGAGGATATCACACTAGGGATTTGGAGGGATAGCTATTGATGCAGGAGCGGGTAGGGGTGATTCGAAACTAGAATTAAAGTATAGTAAGAACGAGATTGAGAGAGAAAGGGTAGAAGAATAGAGGGAAGAGGAATCAGAAGAGAAGAAGAATTCAGAGGGAGAAGAAATCACGATAATCTCAAATTTTAATATCAATAATAATCATCAAAACCTGACCTATAAATAGACATCAAAGAAAACCCTAATCAACCTATTACCATAAATAGAACCCTAAATTGCGGAAATATCCCATAATAATAATAAATAAACAAAAATCCCTAATTCTATCTTTCTTTCCCACGTCTCCAATAATAGGCATGGGCTGTATGGACTTCAAACTCTCGGGCCAGGCTCGGTTCTTCATCAGCTATCCCTCAAAATCTCTCCTAATCCTTTCTTTTCTCTCCATTTAAGAAAACCCAAACACACTTCACGCTATCCTTTATATTCTTTTCTTTCCAAATCCTTCAATTCAAACGGAGCCCTGAACTCCTTTGGTTGGTAAGAGAACTCAAGAAAATAAATTTAAAAGTACTTTGAACCTTGTCTTCATTCTGGCTTCGTTTTCTAAAAGATACCAAGTAAGCAATATAGTTGCACTAGACTCAGTCTAATGAAGATCTTGTTATCCAAGTCCAAAATTAGAACAAACTAAGTTTCAAGATTATAGATTTTTCCTTTCCTTAAAACTTTCATGGCAAACAAATGGACTTCAGAAACTTACATACTGTCCAAATAGGATTTTAGAAGTACTTTTCTTACTTTTGAGAACTGTGCATTTAACATACAAGGGGAATCAATCTGCAATAATATCATAAACTTGGTTTTCATATTTACCTTCTTACTTTTTAAGAATCCAACAATGTGTTTATGTTAATATATATCCGACCTTTAACAACAATTTATTTAAACAGAGTGTGATGATTTTTCCATGTGATTTTCAAAAACCCCCTTTTCCAAGTTTCAACAATCCTCCTCTATTTTTTTGTTCAAAGGTGTGGTTTAGCCATGACAAATATCAACTGTACCAACGGCTAGATTCTAGAGCCATTGGCAACGTGTAAGGAGTACAAAAGAAGTCAGAATCATACCCATTCAAGTAGATATATCTTTTCTTCTTCCAAGCTTGAGTCAGAATTTGTCCTTCCGCTAACAATTTCTAGAGCTACAACGCCAAAGCCAAACACATCAGCCTTTTCAGTAAGGTGCCCGCGCATGGCATATTCCGGTGCAAGATATCCACTACATCAGTAACCAAGAAAAAGTCACCACTAATTAGTTATTACTTCAAGTATGAACAAAATACAGAAATCATTAATTAGAAAAATTATAAATTAACAGTATGGAGATTGACAGTTGAAGATCTCACATTGTTCCAGCAACACGGGTGCTAATGTGTGTCTTTTTGTCATCATAAAGTTTGGCCAAACCAAAATCTGAAATTTTGGGATTGAGATCAGAGTCAAGCAGAATATTACTGGCCTTCACATCCCTATGAACTATACGAACCCGTGATTCCTCATGAAGATAAGCTAGACCCCTTGCTACTCCCAAGCAAATATCAAAACGAGTTGGCCAATCGAGATTCAGACTTCTCTTTCCTGTTTCATAAATTCTTATCTGTATCTCCATATTTAATAATAATAAAAATAATATAAATCTGTAAGAATCAATCATTTTTTACCAAATAATGCTTGATCAAGACTCCTGTTTTCAAGATACTCATAAACAAGAAGTCTTTTATCTCCCTCAATGCAGCATCCATACAATTTTACAAGATTACGGTGTTGTACAGCAGATATTGTAGCAATCTCTGCTACAAACTGACTCTTTCCTTGGTGCGATGATACAGATAGTTGTTTCACAGCAACCAGTCTCCCATCATTGAGCGTTCCCTATTGAGTACAAAAATTACATTTAAAAAACTAGAAATAAATTGTATAACCACTACCATAGCTCTTAAATCTTGTTCTACATCTATAAATATCAAATGGAAAAAGGCACATGACAACATAAATATAATTATTTGTACAATATTTGCTTCATCAGCAGTTGCTCAGCATTTCCAATATTTTTATTCCCCAGAAGTTGCATTAACCTGCCCCTCTCTAATGATATAACACGGAATGTGATGGCTAAAAAGAAAAGGTGCTGGGGACATTCATAACTAACAAGTTCAGCAAATCTTAACAGAAAAATATATTTGAAGTCAGATGATTGACACTAGTTAGTGGGCACAGTCAAGTGCTCCACCACTTAATTTTCCTTAAAAATAAAAAAAATTAAAAAATGAAATTAAAATAAATAGGAATGAATGACTTACCTTATAAACTGGTCCAAATCCTCCCTCTCCAAGCTTATTATCAGGAATAAAATCTTCTGTTGCAGCCCTTAGTTCAGCATAACTGAAAGTGTATGGTCTAGCATCCATCCCTAGAAGCTCTGAAAATTCAAGAAAAACACAGATCAGTCATCACGTATTAACTAGTAAGCCTATAATGCACAATCACAATCATTTTTTTTCCTGATTAGATAAGATAGTGATTGAAAAGAGACTGTACTAAAAATATGAGGACTGTTACCGAAAGCTGTAATAAGTCATAGTACTCAGGACTAATTAGATCTAGATGGATATTAACTTGCAACTAAATAAATTTTTGAATTACAATTAATTCTTAAAAAACACAGATCAGTCATCACGTATTAACTAGTAAGCCTATAATGCACAATCACAATCATTTTTTTCCCTGATTAGATAAGATAGTGATTGAAAAGAGACTGTACTAAGAATATGAGGACTGTTACCGAAAGCTGTAATAAGTCATAGTACTCACGACTAATTAGATCTAGATGAATATTAACTTGCAACTAAATAAAATTTTGAATTATTATTAATTCTTAAAGTGCAGTTAATTAGTTCGATTCCTGCCTCAATAACAATCACATAAACACAAAGCAATAAATAATATAAAGCAAATAAATTGTTTTTTATGTGAAAAATCTTAGAAAGAAAAAATCACATGGGTGTAGTCTACAGATCAAAACTTACTATGAGAAAGAGGTTAACAACTAAGTTACCAGATTCCAAACTCTAGAATCACCAACTCCTTCCTGACTCAAACTTGCGCAAGATGTCCTTGATCCTTCCGGTAGCTGATCCGATTACGAATCCATTCCTCAAGCAATCTGCTACTCTTTGGACTTTTGATCTCCATGACTAGTGATGTTTGTTCAACTTGTTCTTTACGAACCACCCAGTTTATGCTTTGTCAAATAGTTTCAATTCTGCTACTTGCTTTGATTCCCTCAATTACATTAGTATGGTAATTATAAAGAATCCTAAACTGATTCTCAAAGTTTTCTCTTTTTCTAAAAATATAAAATGTCTCAATAATATGTAAAGAGTCGAAAGCAGTGTGAGAGATACCCTAGAGTGACTATAACCCCATTTTTAGAGCTGATTGAGAGAGTTTCTGAAAACAGGTTTTGCAAGATTGGGTGGACTGACACTTCGATCGATCACCACTGTCACTGCTTCGATAGATCAAGCTTACTGGATTTTAATTAAATTTTTCCTACAAAATTTTGATCAATCACCATTGATCGAGTTTACTGTTTTGTAAAAAGCCCTGTTTTGCGACTCATTTTAAGATAGTTTAATCAAAAACCCGATAAAAAAGATTATAACATAATTATTGAGCCTTCTAAAGATCATATCTAGGTCATAATTGATCTCTATGATCTCAACTTACCTTAATCTAGATATGTGATTGAGCTTGACAGAATTTCGGCTTGTTCTTCGCTGATCTCCATCTTCATCATCTTCTTGCGATTGACAACTTAAGACTTAGACACATAATACAATTGAGTAGAAATTTTCCACATATGACTCATTATCCTAAATTTTTGTAGTATGTTTGAATGACTAAAATCCTATAAATTACAAAGTAATCTTATAAAGCATTCATTGAGGTTTCCATCCAAAGGTGTTTGATTGAAGACAGGAAACTGGTGGCAAGCATATCTGGGAGTTGTCAATAACCCTAATTGAGGGATTCATGTTTCTTACTGCTTTCAGGACTCGATTCTTTCTTAGAAAGAATGGGGGAAACAAAAGGAAAATGGCAAAAGTGGCTACCCTTGACAAGAATTTATCTTGTTTTCCCTCATTTCTTCAAAGAATCAGAGGATTAAGGTTTCTCTTATTTATTTATCATTATTATTATCACATATATATTTTTTGGGGTGGGGTGGGGAGAAGTTTTGGGTTATGGCAAGATTTTCAAATAATACCTTCTGTGTTTTTGGATTAGGAAACACACATCATATTGTGAAAGCCCAATTTGTGGTCAATGCGCATAAATGCACACATTTTTAGCATGTTTCAATGTGGCATCCAAAACTCATTTCTGGTAAAAGATTATAACCAAACATAGGCAATCAATATTTCAATAATTTATTCAGCGTACTTCTTTTTCCTTTTTACCTTCATCTTCGTTGCTGCTTGGCTGTTTTCTTCTTTGAACGAAATAGTACACCACAAATACAGATAGAAAGCTCACAACTCCAACAGCCACAACGATCCCTACAATCAAACCAGTCCTGTTCTTTTTCTTGCCACCGGTGGTTGAAGGGTTATTGCTAACAGTGGGAATGAAGTCTGTAAAAAAGCTTGGTTGTCAATAATTTGGCATCAATTTAATAAAAACTTAAATCCAAACTCATTAACTGTATCAATTTTTGTTTAAATCGTATCACCTGGGGTGGCGCTGATTGCTGAAATGGACGGACCATATGTACCTTGAGTAGGTACACAGCAAGTCCCTTTTCCAGCCCAAAAGAAATGGATATCAAGGTAGTTCTCTGATACCTGAGCCGTAAAATTTCTCACAACAGCTTGTAAAGAAATGCCACCTGCCTCTTTTCGTATGTCAAAATTTTGCTCAACCAGATTCCCCTATAATGAACAAGCAAAGGACTTAAACCCAAGTTTTTTATAAGGAGGAGGAGAAGGAAAAAGAAGTTGACAACGAATCAGAAGAAATTCACATCATATTTTCATTCATTACACTTTTAACAGAAGCAAAAACATACTACATATTCAGAAAGTAGTTGATCTGAGCATTAAATGGTTTAAAAATTTGATAGATCATTGTGTGAAAAAATCATGGAGGCAGTTGGCATATTTGTAAAAAGTGCAAAAAGTTATTCGGAAGAGGCAATAGATGTTAGGAAAATAAGCTTATGTGATCAATTATCAGTATAGGATAATTCTTTAATCTTATCTGTCAAAAAGTTGGATATTAAAATTTAAGTATTTGTGGCATTTGAAAAGTGAAATTGCTTAGTGCAACTGTAAATGTACAAGTGTTTTTTTCATTGATCTTAACCTTTCAGAGGTCGTTGAGTGTGAAAGTGTAGGTTCAAGTCTAAAAGGCTAGCCACTTGGTGGAAATAACACCGAATGTTAAATTTGTGCATCATCCACTCTTCCAAGAATCACAATTGAAATGATCATGATAGTTGATATCCTATGGCAATTTAACTCGTGATACTATATAGTCATTCATGAATTGCCAGTGAATACAAAATTTTATTGTTGTTGAAATCTGGAGAAACTCATTATAATGTTCCCTAGTATAGACATACATTATCAATCATAATATACTGCAGGGGTAGTAAATACCAACAGAGTAGTAAAAGCTTCATTACTCCAGATAATAGCCAAATCACAGTTTGTAATGCAATTATATAACTCAGTACAAACCTGAATATATATATCAAAAACACGTCTCCCAACACCCTTCCAACTTGCAGAACCTAGGATAGCCATCTCTGCAAACTGGAGGATCACAGTATAATTACCATTCTCTAGCCCCAAACCGTAATACCTTAGCGATCCAGCAGAGATCCGAGCTGTCTGAAACAGCTCGGAATTCAGTGTATTTGTGAATTGGGATGGTGTGAAACTTGTATACAGAGGGTTGCTTTGATCGGCAAAGCGTCCAACATTACTTACTGCCCACCTGGTTGTGCCAATCACGTTATATGTGGCCGGACCAAGAGTCGCATTATCCCTCTCATACACAACTTGATTAGAAGCAGTGATCTGTTGACCACCACATTTAATTGCAAAATCTGAATCTGTAAACAAATTAGAAAGAGGAAGTTGTTAGATGAAGCGTAACTTAAGTGCTTCAACTTACAGACATTGAAATCACCTACATCTGGATATGTTATATGCATTATACTACTTTCAGTTTAGGAACTGTTCATTTTTAGAAGGAAGAATTCAATTCAGTTTTGTATATTATACATAATTGTGTAATCCAGATTTTGAAAATAGCGTATACTAACTCGTTATTAGAAATATGAATTGTTGCCTTCTAGCTCTAATTTCCAAAGTAGCCTCATGCACCTCTCATTTAAATTGATTTAATTTAATATCTCAAGAATTTTTCTGCAATAGTTGGCATATTCCAACATTTCCCCTCAAATTGATGACATGAATTCACCACAAAGAAGGAATCCTGACCAAATCTGACAAGTACAAATATTGTCCACATTTTTTTCTCCTATAATGTATTCAGGTGAAAGAATTGATCACATACATGACAATTACCTCACCTCATAGACGATCCTTTTGGGCGTTGATTGGGAAAGGGATTCATAAGGAATTAAAAAGAAACAAAATGTTTCTTACATAGGCTTAACATCTTAAGGGTAATCGTGCTGTATCAGAGAACAATAAAAATTGGGTTCCAAACAAGTTAACCCATTTAAATGTTTATGCCCTCATAGGCCTCAGACAATTGATCAAAAAATACATGGATCAAGCATTATGGTCAGCAGTGGCTAACCAAAAACAATAAGTAAAGAAAGACACGAGCAACAGTAGCTCACTCGCTTGGACATGAACAAATCTGTGGACTACCATCAATATGGTATCATGAAGAAGCTCAGTTTATATGAAGTTACAAATAGTAACATTTCACAAAATTTTAAAAAGAAGATGGAAACTCAAGGATATAACAATCATTCTCATAAAAATCAACTACACAAATCTTAATTCAAACTACTAGGGGTTGCCTAAATGAATCCGTTGTCTTCGATGGGCTCTTCGTTAAGCCATGTCTCTAGTTAAATACTTAAATACAATGCACTCATATCTTTCCTCACAGCTTCAGCATATGTTCCTTTTAGCCATCCTCTTGTCCCCTTTTAACATTTTCAACTTAAATAAAAAGATTTGCTTCGTACCAGAATGTTAGAAGGTCTACTAAATGCACATGGATAAACCTTCTTAGATGATTTTACCTCCATTTACCTTCAATTAGTGCCACTTCTAACTTTTCAAAAAAAACCATTTCCATTTTTATGGATAAGTCAGTTTATACACCACTTATGGAGAACGAGATAAAATAGGAGTTGTTCTAGACTATGAACTACAAACCATGAACAGAAAATAAACAGAAGGAGAAGACGAAAAAGAACCTAGAAAACACACATAAAAGTACATGGAATTTTTTATCTCCCAAGTATAGGTTGCATCACAGATATCACAATCTCAGTCTCCTAACTCAACTAATTCAACAGTATTTATAGGTTGCCATAGTTCTCCTACAATCAAAAACTTTGAAATTTTGACTATTAAGATTACTCTATACCTAAAAAATCATAGTTCTTATAGGCTCAACAAAAAACCACTAATAGCAATATAATAACACAATTTGCCTGAAAAATAGACCAATAATCCACTAATGGAGCGCAGTCCATCAAATTAAAAAAATTACAAGCATACCCTTGACTCCCAAAATAGACTTACAATGGGACATTCCATGGTCAATGTTGTTTGCTAATGACATAGTGCTATTAGATCCTTCTAAATAAAATTTGGTCACAAAATTAGAGATGTGAAGAAATGAATTAAAATAAAAGGTTTAAAAGTTAGTAGGACTAAAATTGAATACATGGAATGTAAATTTAGCAGAGAGTCAGATTTTTATTTTATTTTTTTCCCTTTCCCTAAAGTTCAAGCAATCGCACACACATCCACATTATTGCCCCTAGCAAGGCTTGAACACTCAACCCTCCCCTTTGGGGAGTAGAGATCATACCATCTGGGCTAATGCCCATTGGTATTAGAGAGTCAAATATTGATAATACAATGATCACACTTCAAAACCAAAGGGTTAGTCAAGTAACCATCTTTGATATTTAAGACAAAAAATATAAAAGGATGGTGAACTAGATGGGAAATAATTAGTAGAATTGAAGGGGGTGTAAACGAAATAGAGACATGCTAGCGGTGTTTTTTGTGTTAAAATAATAGCAAATAAAATCAAAGAAAATTCTTATGACAGCAAACTAACCAAAAATAAGAATACAATATGCCTCTATTGAAAACTAAACTCAATTACACGAGGTCTGAAGCACGATCCATGTGGACTTCCTAATGTTCCTTTCTTCTTAAATCACATTCTCTACTAGATAAAGGTCTGTTGGGAACCATAAAAACCAGTATGAGTATGAGCTGTCTGGTTTTAGTGGACTTATATCTTGTAAAGACTTCTTTTTATATAACCCTGCTAAAGGTTGTAGTTGTGATAATCCTACAGGAAAAAAAAATGAATTTACAAAAACAGAAATAATTTTTTTAGTTAAAAAAAATGTTTGGATTATTTTAGCGTTTTTTTATTTTTAACTAGCAGCGACAAAAATATCAATTTTATTAGAACAAAAAAAAATTTGACGTAAAACAGAAACACTCGGAGACAGAAAACCCATTAAGATCACTGCATTTTTGTATGAGCTATGAAATTTTTTGTTTAACACCCTAAAAGGGACATACATCCTCTGGAAAAAATAAATAAATTAGTGTCTGTTTGGGGGTTGCCAAAAATATTTTGATGATGACTACGAAAAATAAAAAACTAAAAATGACCCTAACGCAACCTAAACAAACATAAAGTTGGTTTTGCAAAAACCAAGATAAGATAGGATAGGTTCTGGCCTGGCCTACTATTACTAATTCACAAAAGGCCCCTAATTATTGTTTTGAGTCCTAATTTATTCTGTCTTATAATCAGTAAATTTTTTATGATTATTGATACTACTCCTCAAAGGATCAATAACCCTCATATAGATCATTTCCTTTTGGCCTCACAATGCCTGCCTATATTTGATTATGTTCTGGTCTCAAACAAAACTAAGAGAAAGCTCTCATATTGCACTTACAGATTGGAGATCCTCGATTGCAAGGGAAATTCCGTTGAAGACATCTCAGTCCAGAAGGTAGAACACTGAAAGCAAATAAGAATGCATATTATCTAGGAAACATGTCATATCTGATGGATCTGAGGCTCTAAGCAACATCAACCACCAACTTTTTTAATATTTATTTAAAGAAATGTATTGCTGAAAAGAGAAATAGTATGATAATGAAAGATAAATAAGCATTTCTCCTTAACAAGCAACTCAATGAGGAAACCTATAATTGCCTTGGTAAATGATTGATTGGTTGCTTCGCACCCAGGAAATTGTAAGTTGAATATTTCCGGAATAACAAAAGGGAGTCGTATTAGTAATGCTACATCGGTATTATGTCAGAAACTTCATGTGGAAATTGTGTTTAAGGCTCCGTTTGTTTCCTCAGAAAAGATTTTCCATTTTCAGGTAAAATATTTTTTTATTTTTTGGTGTTTGGCAAAGGTCTAGGTCGAGTCCATCGGGCGGAGTGTGTAAAATAACTTGCCGAAAATTCTCTTTGTGCTTGTGTGGGGTATTTTTTTTTTAATATCCTATTAATGCTGGATTTCTACCAATCCTTTGGACTCATTAGTGTAGACCCTTAAATCTTTAAGTTCAGAAGATACAAATCAGATGATAGCCAGTTTATAATATGGAACTCAGAAGATGATATACCACAACGTGAACTAGTCAAGTCATTTGACCAAAATTATTTTTTTCTTAGTTGGTACTCACACACACATGCCTCCACTGAGGCTTGAACCCCTGACCTCCCTTTGGAAAGTAGGGGCCTAATACGGCTAGGCCACTGGCCTGTTGGTCATTTGATCAAATTTATAACTGCATATAATTTTTTTCTATTTATGACGCTTCTTAAAGGTCTCTTTGAATATATATATAAATATGTATGTAGATGTAAATTTCATTTCTTTAGTTTTTTAAGATTCTTATTATTACTAGTGTAGTAGTTGTCACATAATTAAATTTGCAGTTGTTTGCATATAACATAATTAAAACCTTTACACAAGAAGAAAATTAAAGGAAACGATTTACATAATCTCAAGCAATAGAAGTGAATCAACTGCATAGGGAAAGTATCAATGCGAAACAGATTTTATAATAGGGATATTTTCAGAACCAGATTTTATTACAATTTTTTTATATTTGTAGTCATTTTGATATATTTAGGTAGACAAATCAGCATTTTAAAAAGCCACAACTATTGCTGCCAGCAGCCCTACTTCACATATTTGACCACTGAAGGAGGTGCTGATAAAACCTTGATCAATGCAAAAACAAACTAACAGGAATGCAAACGACGAGGAAATTTAAAATCATATGTCAGTGAGAGAATCACCTGCTGTTTGAACCGTCTATTGTGAAGTTGTTGGCAACTAAATTACTGCTATTGCACCCCCAAAAAAATATCAATGTTAGTTTCAAAGGTATCAAATTTATGCAGAATATAACCATATACCGCTATATGCAAAATTAGTATGTTTCTGGAGAAAAAAATTCTCAATTCAAGAGCTTGCAGGTGAAACTCTTACAGGATGGTAAACCAGACTTTTTTAAAATAGAGAGAGAGAGAGAGAATTCTCAATTTCTCATAGATACAATCATAAATTTTGACCTAGGAAAACAATCATAAAGAAGACTGAATATAACTGTCAAATTGTCATACACTTGCAAGTCTTGTTCGCTGATCCAAGAGGGAAAGCTGCCAGATAATTCATTGTATGACAAATCTCTGCAGGTATAACATAAATGCAACATTAAATACATTCCATCATAGTGATTACCAAAAATATGGTTAGTATTAAATTAACGCACTGAAAAGACTTAATTCAATCAAAGGCCTCCCATAATACCATACTTGCATTGATCATTTAAAAACAACATAAATACAAGGCCTCTATAACTGTTTATAGTTGTCTCCAATTTTCTAAAATATGACAGAATGTCATTCTCATGAAATGTTGTCCTGTCCTATATCTATCCACGCGCCCAATTGTGTGTCTTTGGTGTATAAAGGAAATACTTGTATAGCCATTGTAACCTTGTAACAACACATTGATGGGTCCATACATCTCTTAAACTTGTACAGCTGAGAATTGAACCTACACATATTTAAATTACAGGTTTAACCAGAAGTGGATACGCATACCACTAGGAGAAAAATCAAAACTGAGTCACAGAAATAGGCTTCAGGACCAAAGGCACATCTCGAACTAAACAATTTGTAATTGTTTAAATCATCAAGTACTGCGCGCTTTCTGACAGAACTTTAATCTTCCACTTTGGAGGTTGAAGTATATATAAATTTTTATCTTCGATTTTTTTAACATTATAAAGCCACTAATAGGCTTCCAAAACTTATTCAGATCATAAATAGATATTCTTGTCTAATATTGCTTCCCAAATACTGTTAATCCGTAAAGAAGACTGAATATAACTGCTAGGATCCTGAATTTAGTGTGTGGAATCACCATCAAAGAAAACAATATAAGGATGAAAGAAGATGAAAATCACTAGTCAATCTTCAAATGCACGTGAAGATTCAGAATAGTTTGTAGTTCACATTGAAATGTTTATGTCCCTCTCCAAGTGTAAACTTCTGTCTTGTTATCCTAGGTGATCTTTTGAGTTTGCCATACTATATACATCTTCACCTTGGATTGTACATGATTTTCTAGAATATTGTAGCAAGTTTGTTTAACAAATGCATCCCTAGATAAAAGCTTGAGGGAATATAACATTAAAATTGTGTAATATCTGTCGATTTTTTGGCCTCTTTGAAGGCTTAGAGGCTCTTTTGGCCTTGTGTATTTCTCTTGGGGTTCGCTCCCCTTTTGAGCGCTTGTTATACAATTTTTACTTACCCAAAAAAAAAAAAATTGTGTAATATCCTTGGACTTCAATAGAATGTGATGCTTTTTAAATTAATAAAACCACAACATTTAAGAAACTTTATATAAAGGATCAGTATAGGAATGAACATCTCAATTAGGCAACAACACAATTTCAAACATTCCAATTAAGCTGTGCAAGGTTATGTAAGATGACTCACACATTGAGAAGAGTTGAAGTCTTGTGTGCAGGCAGGGAACCAGTTAATTTATTATTTCCAAGAAACCTGAGCAGGAAGGAAATAATAAATCAATTCAATACAGTAAGGAGTATATCTTCGGTGTCACTAAAACAGATGAGAAGAAGATATTCATTACAAGAAAGAGAGTGAACTCAAATTGAAGAGTGATTGTGGAAGTCCACCGGTTAAATTATTGAAGCTTAAATCCCTGCAAAATTTAAAAAGCACATGGTTATAAGATGAATAAAGCAAAATTGTACTAACTAATAATATACAAAATTTAAAATATATATTAACTTCTTGGCGGGCTGATTGTGACCCCCAATTCCCTAACCCGATAATCAACTGACCAGTTTCAGGTTGAAGTACATTTGGACCGACCCAAACCAACCTGACACAGTACCAGTCTTCATCGATCTGAAGAATCACTTCTCAATAGGAGTAACTTACAATTGCAACAAACTTCTGTATTCTCCAATATTAGTTGGAATAGAACCAGAGATATTGTTATTCCTCAGGATTCTGCAGAATATAAAATCAGTTTGTTGTATTAGACCTTCACAAAGAGCAATGTTTGTCACATTGGACATTTAGAAAAGAAAATAGGGAAACATAAAATAATTAACAAAAATTAGACACAGATTATGCTAGAGCCATTTGAAAGAGAATTCATCGTAGAGATTTGATATAATTTTTTACGGTCAGTCATCTACCTGACACCAACCTCATTTCGCATCCGACCTTGGGTACCGGCAATGGGAAAGTCATAAATACCCCAAAGTTTTGTTGCTGCTATCTACATAAATTTTTTAATCTAGCAATATATTTTGTATTATTAGTTTTGTTTTTTAATTGGTCAATTTTACACAAGGTATCTAACACATCCATATGGGATAAAGGCAAGAATGATAATGATGATGAGATTATGCTATAACTGTATCGCCTTACAAGATGGTTAGAGACTTCATATCCATATGGGATATGGATATAAAGGCAAGGATGATGATTATGATGATGATGAGATTATGCTAGAACTGTATCTCCTTACAAGATGGTTAGAGACTTCATATTTCTAATAAAATCCAGCGAAGTGCTCCCATTCCCATTGGATAAATCACTTATTCTCCTGTATACATAAGAAAACATTATATTATACAATAAAAGATTGGTTTTACTGATCTGCGTAATATGAATAAAAGCCACTAAAAAATTTAACACTTACAAGTCAGTCAAATTGACTAAATTGGAAAATGTTGATGGTATGGGACCTTGAAAAGAGTTTCCTTCAAACCTCCTACAGAAGCATAAATACAAAGCTGATCATAGACTATGCAAGAGAGCATCTGAAGCTGAATATCATGGTAAAGATCAAAAATTGAGGAGTAACTAAATATATATAAAGAGAATATCCAAAACTCGGTGTAGAATACTGACTTACAAAGTAGTAAGGCTTGACCAATTCCCTATGAAATCAGGTATGCTGCCTGAGAGTTCTGTGTCCGAAGCCCACCTGAGAGGCTCCAAAAATTCAACCTCAGCAAATTTGATAAAGGAAACAACTTATTCTAATAAAATGTATACATGATAAATTTTCAATAATATTAGACTAGAAATCTCTTACACTGTTATCAGGTTTTTTAGAGCAGCAAAAGTTGAAGGTATCCCACCACTAACTCCGGAGCTATCAAAGTAACTGTCATGGTAAACAATATTAAGAACCAGTGCTACAATTTTTGTCCTTGACCAGCAAAATTCAAGTTTTCTTAATGGAGGATCTATTGAGATTTGACAACTCCCAAGAATAAGTGGCAATCAGTCACTAGAAAAATAAAAATAAAAAATACATTCCACAGATCGAACTTTTTACTGAGTGACTATGATATTCATTATAGAAGGATGGTGCATAGTATGGCCCAGAAATCTAAAAGCTTTGTAACAATATATATATATATGCACACAAAGACTCAAAATTTAACTGAGAGCAGAAAAGGAGATTGTAATAAATAGAACAGTTAATTAGACCACAGAATAAGATGGCTGTAGGAAGTGTTATATGCTCGGTAAGTCTTAATTTTTTTTTTTTTTTTTGCCTAGTGAAGTCTCAAATTTTAAGGTGTTGAGTGTTTAATGTGGTGAAACTAATGACTATATCAGCAATTGAGCATTTAGTTTAGACCTTTTAGTGAATTATGGTTTTAGAGAAGTGCATCCATCAAACAATATCTGCTAGCAAATGCATTATAGTAGTGACCATTATAGCAGTGAGCAGTTACATTATTATACAATCATCACAGCATCACGATACTTAGAGATACATCATATTTGAAGAGAAGTTGCCATCACAATGGAAAGCTATGGTCATTCTTAATGGTTCCTACATCAATGCAGAATATCCTTCACGACCCACCAAGCAAGACCATCCATATAAATATATACTTGTCAATCTAATTTAGTTCCAAAGATCTTTTATGAACTGAAATTAGATTGGATGTTGTCATATCCTGCACAAAGTTTTACCAGTATAATATGTACTTCCTTCCCTAGAGATCTCATAACAGCATCTAAAGCTAATGCTAAACTAGATGGAATTCTGCATGTTTTTCTTCAATATTGGATTATATTCAGTTACAGAATAAAGGAATTTATAAGGACGTGAAAAGAGGAAAGTGAATGGGGGTTTTCGGTGAGCTTCTACATCTAAGCAGTATGTGCACCGAGGGAATTTTCAATTATACAATAAATGTGAACTATATACTATTACAACTGAACTGCAAAAAGTCAAAAATTCCTTGTGACTAAATGTCATGTATTTTAGTACATTAAAGGGTATTCTATATGAACTTCACAAATCTATTCATATATATACCAATGGCAGTCATGAGCAACAATTCCATATAAATGACTCTGCATCAGGCTTACATTTGCTCTAGTTTTGTTAAATTCCCAAGCTCAGATGGCAGAGGGCCAGAGAAGTTGTTTGTCCCAAAAGACCTGCAAGTTAACAACTCAAAAGCATCAATATAATCTTCCAAGGTTTCTTTTCTCATAATTCCGGATCATCAAAGATGAAGTTCATGAATAGCATAACGGAAAACACATATATGGTTATTGTATATTAACTCTTTTGATTAGTAACAAAGAAGTTCTACATGCTATAATACCCAGAGACTTAGATTTACACAATAATTGATTAATGAAGTATTCCTAAGCGTCATTTTAAAGAAAACATTTGTTGAAAAGGGTATCTACGTATAAAAGATAGTGTCAGTCTCATAAAAGGACATTGCATAATAAAAGATCAGAGCATCAACCTGCCTCTTAAAGACATATGAAGTCAAGAATAACTTACAGTGATCTTAAATCAATAAGGTTCCCAAGTTCCTTTGGAAGCTCCCCTGATAATGCATTAATGCCAAGGGTCCTGAGGACATTAAATAGACTATCAGAACATTAAAGAAGTATGTTAAACATAGAATTTTCAATGACCTCTACATTTTAAATAAACAATAAGTTGTGCTTACAGGTACTGCATTCGAATTAGATTTCCAATAGAGGCAGACAGGGAACCTGTCAAATAATTTTGACCCAAATTCCTGCAATAATGAAAGAAACTTTAGCATCACTGACACCAGAGATTGTTAAAGGACCAATGATGTAATACTAGCATGCCACGCTTATCATATACTTTGATCTGTTACTCTTTTGCACCATAATTTGAAGGGCTGTATTTTTCTAGTAGCTTACACATAGAACAGAAGTAGTAAATGGGAATGCAACTCTGGTAAATTAGTATGTAAATGAAGTGATCATACAAATTGGTGAGGAAAGTCAAATTCCATAGCTCATCCGGGATTACACCAGCAACATCAATTGCATAAACTTTCCTGTAAAGAAAATGTAAAGCAACCAAGTATTAGGTGAATTTTTTAACATATTCTACACATTCAAGCTAATAACCATAATTTTGAATTTCAAACTGCTATTATATTTTAGCCTCTTGTGTGGAAACTTGTGGAAGTCCAAAACCAAAACAAAATATTCTAGAATAGTTTCGAACTTCGAATATGATTGAACTTCATCCACTTTCAACAGGAAAATTAATTTGTTGATGTTTTCAAATTAATCGAGGAAGTCAGAAACCATCCTTTATTGCAATGCAGCTTCAATACAAGATGAGAACTAGAGAGCTGTTCTAGGATGTAAAGTAAGTGAAAGAGCCATGCACTGATGTGCACATTTAACAAAATAATTATGATCAATTTGACAAGGTTGAAGATCATGAAATAACACCCACAGTTATGGGAAAGCACAAATACCAAGATGAAATTCAGGCCTAAGGATAATACATTAGCTTCTATCTTTTCAAGTGAATTAAAATTAATAAAAGTTTCGATCACAAATGAGACCAATGAACTTCACTGAAATACAATCCTTTTCCATAGAATAAAACATTACAAAAATAAAAATAAAAAATATTGCAATCATCAACATCGTATAAGGTAAGTTGCCATACAACTTCTACACGATCTTAGAACAACATAACGTTGAGATATATTACAAAGTATCATTAGCCTTGTGGATATATTGCCACGTGGAGATGGGTCATTGCTGTAAATATGGACAAGCAGGGTACTCGTGTCTTTATAGAATTGGCAAAGACTAAAGAGAGTACCCAATACATCAAGATGGTAGGATTGGCTACAAAAAGTTTGCAAAGGCATATCAACTACTGGACCAGATTTTCTGAATATTGTATGACATGCATATACTCAAGTAACTTTTAAGAACTCAACTCCTCCTCCAAGTTAAGAAATGAAAACAATTCTTGATTTTCAAGCAAATAGGAACTCCATTTGATATGGACCATAAAGTGAAAAAATCTGATGATTTGTTTGTTTGGATGGTACTTGCAACTATCCACGAAGTTGTTTGGTGTAGGTTATTATGTCATATGTAATTTGTTTTTGGTATTATAAAACAAATTACATATGCAAGGATTCTACCTTCATCTACATGCACATTTGTTTTACATTATTAAGGATCAGAATCCTAACAACCTTGATTTTTTACAAAGATTTTCAATACCAATACATGGTTGAAAATATGCAATACATCAAATTCCCACAATACACCACTAGATGGTTTCAATAAAACCATTGTGAAAAGTTTGTAATTTCAAGATTATGAGTATCTCTATTATCACTATTTTGTTCCTTGGTTTTACTTGTCTAGTTAATCAGTCAATACCAAATGCAACCAGGGTGTTACTTATGAAAAGAGATGAATTATGATTACTTCTATCTCATAAGAGTGTAGAGTTCAATTTTTAAAATTTATTTTTATTTTTACTACTGCTATACACTCTTATGATACAAGTGATCATAAATTCATCTCGTCATACAAAATACCTTTTTTTTTCCCCTGACTTCACCAATGCAATCTTAGAGATAACAACTTGGACCATATATCAAACAGATGGGACACGTGTTTTGTCATTAAACCAAATGAAATTCGAGATTGGAATCCCTTTAAAAATGCAATATGTAAGCATTAACAAAAGCAGTGACAGCAAAGCAATACTTACAGTCCGGTAATGTGGCAAGTCTTGTTGTCAGAGCAGTCACATACGATAACAGGGTTATAATTTTGGTTGTCAATGGTGGTTTTGTCAAGGGCGACTCCACTGCATAGTTCTCCACTTATGTTCCATTCGGTTGGTGCAGGAAGGCTCCATTTTTGAAAGATAGAATTCAAGGCCCTTGCTGCAACCAACCATGTTATTCAGCTTAAACCAACATACATTCACTGCTCCCAAACCAACATCAATGTAATTTCATTTATAAAACATTCAACTTTTATTTTGTTGGAACTCCATTAAATATATATTGTCCTTAAAAGTAATTTTTCTAAGAGGTTCCTTAGGTAAATTGCTAAGGCTCTGTTCTAGTTATTGGAAGTGCAGCCGCCGGAGCCGATAAAGGACTCTTCCTGGGAAGAGAGCGCTTGTATCGAAGGAGATGTTCTATTATTTCGGACGTGAGGCGGCTGACATAATTTGACATGATCCAAGTTGAAATAAATTAACATATAAAAAAGTAAGTGAGGTGAGAAATTAATTTTAAAGCGTAAACATTATAAATTTTTTTATTCAAAGGTGAAAAAAAAAAAAATTTTAAAAAAAAAAGAAAAGAAAAATCAAACTAAAGAAAATTGAGCCCATGTGCTGCTTATCTGGTCACAAGTTGACAGTATTTTATGGTAAAACTGTCTCTTTCTTTGACATTTGTTACTTAATTCAAGAAATGGTTAGTTTGGATTGAGGAAAGAGTCAGAGGAAAGATCGAAATGATAGATTTAGAAGGGAAAAGGGAGAGGGAAAAACCCATCATATTCCTTCCTCCTAAAAAGTGAAAGGAAACGGAGATACAGATTCTTTTCAATCCTTTCTTCATATTGATAATAGCCTAGTTTGTTGCTAATACTTATAAAAATAAGTAACAATTGAATTTTAGAACAGACTAAGAAATAACCAGTTTTCAATTTTTTTTGTTCACCAAACACAGTTTTCAAATATTCCAAACATCTCCAGAAAACATGTTTTTTTCACAAACACAAACAGAACATGTATGCGTGTGTGTGTGTGTGTATAAAGAGAGAGAGAAAGGGTGCCTTCAGAAGGATCTGTAGTAGCATTTGCTGTTTGATTTTGAGCTTGAGCTGTATCTAAGAGGCCAAAGAAGATGGCAGAGAAGCAGAAGGCTATGAACCATAGAGATGGAGATCCAGCAGCCATGAGTTTCTTCAATGTCTTCTCACAATCTTTAGACATTTGGTTCACTAATAAATTCATATAACCTGCACATATAGATAGCTATATAATACAAGAATATCTAGAGATAGGACTTTGCTCCATATATGTTATTTTAATGTCCCTGCGCTTGATGTTGTTGCGGCTTTCAAACGAAAGCAGCCGCGCTCAGAAATTACCCATTCCACGCGCCTTTACCTCACGTGCTCAACATCACTCGTCATATGGTTCAAACTCTCTGTGCACATTTTTCGCTCTTTAAGGTGGCGATTCATATTCGTGGGCCGTGTGGATGCAAGAGTATTATTGTATTAATTAGGTAAATTTAAATATAACTTATTTAATAATTGTGTTAAGAATCTTTAACATTATTTATCAAAAATTGTTAACCCGTTTAATGACGTATTTATCAAAACGAAACATTTAATATTTTATCAAATACTAAATAATAGAAAAAAAAATGATCATAATTAACCCAAATATTCAAACTAAACAGAAAAATCAGACAAAGTTTATGTTGAAATAACTTAACTATTCATAATAATTAGATTTAAATAGGTAACATATTATATAGGTCATATTTACGATTATAATATGTTAAGTTAAATAAGTCATAAACCGGTTACACAGGTTGAACTCCTCAACCTTAACCCGACATGGTTAAGTAAACGGGTTAGTCGTGTCAACCCTTTTATAGTCCAAACCCGTTTATGCCAAACCCAAACTCTTTTAACTCATGTTGTGTTGTCGCGTCGTATCATAATTTGTCACCCTTATTGATAGTATCCCCTGTACGAGACTTTTTTTAGGATATACTGGCCGATTCAGTTAGTTTACATTGATTTAGATCGAGCCGGATAATACAAACTATATTCCACATACAAATTAATAGTGAACTTTTTAAATAATTTCAGAAGGATAGTGAAATTATTAAGTATATATATCAAAAAATAAAAATAGTGGAAAAAAATTGGGAGAGGGGGCCTGGCATGGGTTCGTGCCTGCTCGGTGTCTCACCTCTATTTATTCAATGGACACTAAGAACTCGGTCTATTTTATCGGTGCACACAGTCAATTAAATGACAAAATATAGAACCAATTATATCATAATAATGAAATGTTTGATGTGCCAAATAATCCCTATCTATCTAAATCACTTTCTTTCATATGTTATTTACTTTTATGTAATATATATTTTTTTATTTATTTAATAAAAAATATTGAAGGATACAACAGTTTTACCCATTTACTACACACTACACGTGCTAAAGCATATCTAACAAATCTGAATATATATATATTTTTGGCGGGTAAACTTTAGAAATATGAAAAATACTAGATATTACATTGAATGAAGTGTGGATGCATTAATTATCGGGAAAAAAAAAAAAAAAAATGAAGGGTGGATGCATAATGTGGACCATATCGATATGTTTGACATTACCATTGTGGTTAGTGTTGAGATTCGTTTTTTTTCTTGGGAAAGTTAAAGTGTTGACATTCTTGTTTGGCTGCATCCCACTAAAAAGTGGTCCGACCATCACCAAGTGAAAAGGATATTTGCCATCCTATGGCAATGAAATTGACTATTATAGGCCTATTTTATACTATCAGACTAACAATGATTCATGAAAAATTGTTTTCTTAAAAAAAAATTAATCTATTTCAGTAAATCCGATTTTATGAAATGAAATGGGTGTATTTTTTTAGACATATTTTTGCAGAGTTTTTTTTTGAAAGTTAAACTAATTACATACATAACTTATCTACACCGAGATTCGAATCTCGATTTTCCCTTTGAGTTGTCAATCAAATATTTTCAAACTATTATTTGATACCAATAAAAAATTAACTGTTGTAAAAGAAAATATACAAAATAATTCTAGTACCTTTTTAATATGGGGAAAAAAAACATCTACATGCCCGATATCAAAAATATTTTAATGCACCACCTAAGCTCAAAATGCACCAACCCATCCACAAAATAGGACCTCATGTGCTGTAATCAAAGTCATAATTACAATATGTGCGGTCATCAAATACTCTAATCTTCGGATTAATAAATTTTTATCCTTAAAGCATCCGGTATGCATTTAGATACATACTCTATCGATTTTTATAAAGTAAAATACCACATCAACTTTATTCACTAAAAAATATTGATGTGGCACTTTATATATTTTTTTTCAAGAACGTGTAATGGTGTGATACATTTACCTTATTATCTACTTCTTATTTAATTATTTTTTGTTTGAGCTATGTATTAGTATAGCTCTTGTTGGGGAAGACAAAAGTGACAAAAAAGCATTAAAATAATGTATAAAGTAGATAGACGTTATCTATAGCATTGTCCAATTGTGGACAATGCAATAGATTATCACCGGTGGGACCATATGGTAGAAACTCCATTTCTAATGCAAACCACCCCCCCTCTCTCTTTACACTGACATACTTTTCTCTATAATTAGTAGCGCCCCGGATGCTCTTAGTAGGTAGTGTGTGAAAGAGTTGGGATCTCTGTAACATTTTAGTGCTGTCAATTACGATCAATTCACACAATTGTACACTCTAATACAGAAGCAGAATATACTCTGTGGGAAGATAAATCTTACGTCACGCAGAACAGGTGTGGGAACTAGGAAGTGGAAACGGACATGAATGGAGAGTGAGGGCACAAAAACAATAAGATTTAAGTCATATATGATGAAATTAAGAGTAAGAATGTAGGCGAGAACGAAATCTCATGTGGAGTAAGAGCAATACATGTTTAAAATAATTATTTGGCTTATAATGAAATCACTTGAGGATGGATCGGTGCTATAATAACACATTATACAAAAACATAAAATTTCAAGTACTATATAATATGTTGTATAGATTAAAATTTTGGGACTAAAAATTCCGCTTTACACACACGTTATTTATTTATTTTATGTATCATATCCTTATAAAGACATTAAAAGAAAATGTAAAAAATAATTTTAAAATAATAAATAATTTTTATTTTATGCAAATTGACAATATCACAATAAGAAGAAATAACTAATTAAATATAATTAATCAATAACTATGACATCATAAACTCATCACAAATTAATAAATAAAAAAATCTAGGTCAAATAATCTACTATGTTTATCTAAAAATAAATAAAAATTTACTCTTTTTTTTTCCATCTTTTCTTGATAACTTATATGTAGTAAATGCATGAGTAATTTATTAAAATTAAATTAGAATATCACATAATGAATTTATGCACATGCTTAAATCCTAAAATTGTTCTCTATTCATTTTATCATTAAAGGTCTATAAACTTCCAAAAACAAAACAAAATAAAATAAATATCTATAAATATCTACCCTTACGAACAAAATTTAAATTTTTTTTGAAAAATAAAAAATATCTTCAAAGATCTACAATCGGTTTCACCAATTGCGTGTGTATATATATATATGAATTCTATTATTGGATTGAATACTAAGCCTTGAGTGTTAAAAATATTGAATTTAGTAAAAAAAATGAGAAAAATATAGAATAAGAATTAGAAAACAAAACGGTTGGGTTGGAATATAAAAACACGTAGTAACAAAACGGTTAAAATCGTTTCGTATGAGTTTGTTATAAAATATGAGTGTGTTATCTTTGAATCAAATTTCATTGGCGAATTTACACTATTGTCATGTTACGGTGAATAAGGAAAACGCCCAAGGGTGTTTACACTCGCTGGGAAAACGCCCAAGGGTGTTTACACTCGCTGGGTTCGGCGGCTTAATTCGAGACTGTTGGCTTGCACCCAAATCAAAAACTGAGCATGGCTCCACGTACCACCACCATGTGTTACCCCTCCATTGTAAAACTCTCACGCATTGTTAACTGCTACATGTCATGGCCACGTGTTAACCTGTCTCATCACACAAACGGTGACGTAAGTGCCGCCTATCCAAAATTAATGGACTCAATTATATTGAATTTGTTAATGTGATAAATCCATAATTAATTCAACTGGAATAACTTTTACAATACACATAATCGATTATATCAATAACATTTTGATTTTCAGTTAAAAATACTGTATTATTTGGTTTTTTTACATTTTTTATGCATACTAATTTTAATAATTTTATTTTTTTAAAAAAAAAGAAAATTATCCATTTTATCACATCATTCTTGCTTGATTTCATAGTTATTGATATTAATGCATATGGTCAAATGAATTTGATCCTGGAAAATAATATGATCTTGATCAAATTTTTTCAAAGGGGATATTTTTATTTTAAAAAATTACGTTCCAATCTGTTTGATAACAATTTTAGCTCAGCGTAGCTGCTTACTGGAAATCTCACCCGTTGCTATGACATGTTTGGTTGGTTTTTGGTGGCTCCTTTTTGGGCTGGGTTTGCTCTACTCTGGACTGGGTTGTTGTATATGAAACTAAGCCTTTCTGAGGCTTAACTTTGCAATTGTTAATTTTTCAATATATTCCTTTTACCATTCAAAAAAAAAAATCCAATTTTAGCTCAATAGAATTTTAGAAAGAAAATAAAAATTTTAACTTTTAAAACTGTTTTTTGACTAGAGGATTTTATATTTTAGGCAAATGTTATTCGTTAGATAATTTTATCCCTATTTATTTTTTATACAGACAATTTAGTCCCCTTAAAGTCATGTTTTTTTTTTTTTTTTTTGGGTAAGTATTAAAGTCATGTTATTATTAAACATAGTAACACTCTTTATAAAACATTATTGTAAAATTAATAATATTATTACTAAACAAATTATAAAACACTTTAATTGCGAAGAGTAATGTATATTGTTGGTCCTATCATGATTTTGCTATTGTCACAGTGAGTTTAGATGTTTAATTGAACCGGACAAAATTTTATCACAACTAACTAGAATCAATAACATCAGCATCATTTTGACTCTATTTAAGGTTAAAATTTCAGCTAAAAAACAGTCCAATACATCTATCTTTACAAATTTTACCAATCTCTTATATCATTCCTATTTATTTTTATTTTAAAAAATAAATAAATAAATTGCCCTCAATTTGACCAGGTCATTCTTGTTTCATGTTATTGTTATTGATTATTAGTGCATATGATCAAATGATCTTGATTGTTTTAGCTCATTTTGAGCATTTCTTGGTATACTTATAAAATACTTATACGAATATATGATTAAA